ATTAAAATGTTTACCATTTTTATTGGAACCAGAAAACACTTCTCCTGTAACAAAAAATAGCATCTAGGAAAAGATTAGTAATCGACAAATAAATACAGCTGTACACCTTAAATGAAGCATCTGGCACACCCGTAATTGGCATTGTATGCGACTGTATTCTGTAATAGTGATTGAGCTGGTTTGTCAGAACAAGCAGCAATTAAGAAGACTTTTAGTCTTTTTTCACCATGACCGGGTATGAAATAACTAATACCACTTTCTAATTGTTTACACTGTTCAGATACGATGTTTAGTATTGTTTCGAATGATTTGTTGCTTGGATGCTTTTTGGCCGGAATAACACCAACAAGCACAATTGATTCTGAATATCGACGTGTAGGTAATGGTATTTCATTTAACATAAACATAACCGGCCATAATGCCACGTGTTGATTCTTGGAAACGATCCCATCGGCATTGATTGTCATTGTAAACGATGTGTCAGATTCATCCATAAGTATATCAGCATATGTTGTTACTCTTAACTTTTCTTCATTTTGTTCGCGTTGTTTTGTCATTTGATCATACATAGTTCGTATCAATAAAATATGTTGTAACTGTTCAGCGAGTGAATAATAGTAAAATTCAAGAAGATTATCACAATCACATTCTTTACATAATTCTAATTTCATGTCATGAATAAGATTTCCACACTGATTACATATTTGACATGATGACCATCCCGACCTTACATCTAGTTTTGTTATTGCCTTAATGGACTTCCACGAAACTGAGCTGTTTAGTACATTTAATGAATTGATCATACTACAAGATATGTCCATATCCGCGTTGCTTTGACGACGTCTGATTTTGTATATAATTGAAGCAGCAGCTATATCAATAGCGCTAGCTTGTAAACGTCTAACCGGTGGTTGTATTTGATATAAGATTCGTTTGGTGATAGTTTTCAGTGTGTTAGAGTAAACAGCTCTTTTGTGCAAATATTGAGTGCAGCTGAAGCATCTTCGCTTTCATAACTCTGGACAAAAGATGTCTTTTATAAATTATTGCCACATGTAGTCGGACGCTAGATTTCATAGAGGATTGACTAAGCATCCATAAATCGGAAAACAGCAGAATAGACTACTATTTACATTAAATTATCTTCAATATCATACTTTTGTTTTGTGATGTTATTGAACTCTGTTATATCTTTTAGTGGACGATTACTCATCGAATAAGTCTTGCTTATTTGTGTATACGTTGCCATATACAAGGACGTTTATTGAAACAAGTTTATACAATGTAAAACGAGTAACGACAAACTATGAGCATGAATCATTTCGAAACGTAAATATACTCGGTTTAAAACTTTATGATTTTGTTGAACATTCTGCTAATAAGTATTTTGCCAATGTTGAAACATTAGCGTTAAAATCAAAACTACCATCCAATGTATCTACAGATAAATTGTTCAATGATTTATCAAAAATTTGTTCATTGTCAAATTTAAAAAGTCTGCTGTTGATGGATGATACGTATCCAATACATTTTCTGACTGAACTATTTAAGAAAACATCAAAAATATATTTCCTGCATTGTTCATTCAACATTATACTAACAATGTCTAACAATCTTGGTCAGTTGAAACACACAGTAAAACGTTTATTCATTAAGCTAGATGCAGAACTCAATTCGAAGATATTGAAAAAATTATGTTGAACGTTGATTAACCTTGAGTGGTTGTCAATCAATATGATCCATATGAACGATGGGTTCATGCCCGAACTCCGCACACTTTTAATAAAAAGTGACTATACCTGTATTCCAAACTCCGCACATAATTACATAAATTCGAAATGTACGTGATCTCAATCTCCGCACACTTTAATTACCAAGTAAAACATGGACTGCAAGAAATAGAAAAATATATCATTATATCATATATTCTTAATCTGATTGTGATATTACGTCTATATAGCGATAAGCTACTGCCCGTATACTCGACATATATTCTTCAAGGCTCAATTCACCCAGTTCATACGCTTCTTTATTCATACACAATTTAAATGCTTAATTCTCAGTTGATACATGTTGTTTCTTGCTTGGCTTTTGTCCAGTTAATTCTTGTTGATATCTCGTATGTGCTAGGACTTGTTTGAATGAATTAATATCGTAGCGCTACACTCCTTGTTGATACAGTGCCACGATCCTGAACCTTTTTTATTATTTCTGATGTGACGATATCGATGTGAATTATAAATGCAAACTTGTGAACCACGCTGACCGGTTTCAATTTCAAATTCCATTTCCTAAAATATTTGTGAGTACATATGTATTTTTGCAGAAGAGAATATATACCCTTTTAGGAATTATTTGATTACTCATTTCTGATATTAGTCCTAATTTCGACTCGACACTCCAGACACTCCAGACTATGCGGTCAGATAATCACGATCAGGATAGAAACTGTACCAACGGTTCAATCAATATCCAAGCATTCATTCGGCCAAATATTGATTTTAAATCAATAATAGGTTATGTGGCCGTAGTTATGATATAGTTATGCTAATGTTATTGGAACCTAACGTAGAGAGAGAAGATATTTTCAAGAAACTGCTTGTCTAAATCTATCTTGTTCATCAAAAACTATCTCATAAGCCACCGATGCTAGTTAGCTTTTTATTTATCGAGGCCTACACACCTGTCAAAGAGCTGGCTTTTGTCTTTGTTCTCCCGCGTGTAAAAAATCTGCGCATACGGCTTAGCATTCTTGTCTACAAATGAGAGTTTCTCTACTGCGCGGCACTGTACACCTCAGGCACTCAGGCACTGAGTAGTTTTAGATTACGATAGAAATGTTGCTGCTCGAAGCAGCCGAATAAAGAACATTTCAGCTGCTAATTTACCATCGGAAGAAAACGAAAAAAATGTTGTTAAATCTTCCAGTGGGTGTACGACTGATCGTTTGATTCAAATTTATGATAAAAGCATGACCGCGTCAATTCCGAATCAAACAAAAGTGTGCATTTCAATTGGAACTAACATTTTGCCCAGAAAAAGTCTCACCTGGCTATCAAAGAGTTAGAGAGTATTATACTCATCTTCGATCATACTGTGTAACCTATGGTAGTTCAAGATTAACTGTTTACGAAAGTAATACCACAGAGAAAAGATGAGGAACGAAAAGTAATCACATTGTTCACTTGACGCTACATAATTTTCGTCTGCTAATTAATTAAATAGTCTAGATATCGCCATCTCAGAGAGAGTAGATTTGTAAATTCTCCGTGTATACAGCATAACTTACAGGAATTCATGTTGTGCTCCTGAAGATTGTTAAACATCTTTTCTGCTAAATGACCTCCTAGAATAATTCGCTTGTATGTTAATAGGAGTCTATATAACAGAGCCGAACGTAGGTCTCAAAACAAAATCTAGATGGATCTCTGACAACGGTTTGCTGAATTACATATATTCTGTCTCTTGACGTTATTCGACAAGTATGAAATGAGTTTTGTACCAATCTTTTTGTACAATGACAGCATACATGAAAAGCATAAGACTTGACGTAACATCAAATAGCAAACCTACGATATTTTATTTTAACCGTCAATAATTAATCAGAGATGAAATGAACTCTAGACTCATTCATAAACTCTATTTGGATCATTTCCTTTGTACCTACCTGCAAGACAAGCCAATAACAATAAAACCGCAGCAATACAGAATAGTACACTAACCATTGTTAATATAAACAATAATCGTTCAGCAGATAAATCTGCTATGTTGTTCTACATTATTCAAAACTAAGCAGAAATCTAGTAGATTTAATCAACTTGATTACTTCCACAGCAACAGTTCTCCATGAACAATCTCCATGAACGGGAAAATTTTATCTTACTTCATCCGCACAAGAAGCTCTTCATTGTCTTATCTGATAGAAGTTGGTTGGAAATTCTTGAACATTAACAAAGTATCATACAATAATAAAATTGTTTTTTCGATTTGAAAATATTCGTTTCTTGATTATCAATAAATAGATCGGTGTCGTTACTTGAATTTAACATAGGCAAACGCTGAGATAAATGTTGTACGATTTGATCTAAATTATGACCGACTGGTACTTTCGTTTTAAATCGATATAATTCATAATGATAACATAAACTAATGGTAACGTTGACCGCATCAGAATATAACACATCGGTTGTTTCGTCTATCACAAACTTTTGTGGTGATGTTGGATGATGTAATTTTTGATGTTTACTTTTGTTTACCAGTGTTGATAGAGACGAAGATGAAGCCATATCTTAAACGTTTAGAACCCAATACAGGTTTAGATCCGTCGCGAGAAACTCAAAAATATGTATACTAAGAGAATTTTCTTATTGGAGAAAGTAGTAGCAATGGCAATGAGAAGTTGTCACGAATCGATTGAACAATTTGTCATGGAGCACGTGACCGAACTGAAATTGAAAGAAGAACAGTACAATATTGAATTGATTACATAGTCTCGACCTTGTCTACATTGGGAATGAATAGGAAAGACTGAAATTCCACTTAGTCAAGATATCACTAATGTAGGAAAGACAATAAATTACAGTTTTCCTTTCATATAGGAATGTATTAATAACCAATACCGTGTTCTGCCTGAATGAAAGCATTGTCGAAGAGAGATATCTGTCATTTCCGCATGGGATTCCAACAGATCGTGGTCAGAAGTCGATGAAAATCTCAATCCATAGGCACCGAAACGGATCATGACTCGACACTCCAGACTATGCGGTCAGATAATCACGATCAGGATAGAAACTGTACCAACGGTTCAATCAATAACCAAGCATTCATTCGGCCAAATATTGATTTTAAATCAATAATAGGTTATGTGGCCGTAGTTATGATATAGTTATGCTAATGTTAGTTTTGCTGGATAATTGATAATCGTGCTAATACTGTTTCTGCAGGATAGGTGCTAAGTACAGATAAAAGGAATAAGAGAAAGGGAAGCCATTAGCTTTTCCTCGAATGAGCAGCCCTCCCTCGACCCACCCCCCACTCCCTAAACCATACAAATTATATATAAGCCCAACGGGTGAGACCCTTGAGACCCCTTCTTTTTCTTCTCAATTTGAGCGTTTCCTATTCATTCCCAATGTATATGAAAGGAATGTGAATTCAGAGAGCGGTTTTGCATGTCGCGGATACGTGACACTGTAATTTTTCGTTCTTTTTTCTACGATGATCATATCTTGACTAAGTGGAATTTCCTTTCCTATTCATTCTCAATATTCTTCTTCTCAATTTCGACGCTCAATAAAAAGTGAAGAATAACTGTGTGAGAATACAGTATATAACAGGAAAGGTACGTAACTACTCACAGCCAACCTCCCTATATAAGCCCACCTGTCCTATATAAGCCCACCTGATGAGACCCTTGAGCAAGGTCGAAATCGGTATTTGGCTGCTCATTCAAGAAAATACTACAGTAAGCGAAATACTACAGAATTATGCAAGAATATTCTCAGAAGTCTCCCAGATTTCTCAGAATTTTGTGAAAACCTGCAGAATCTTCACACATCCTCTGGCAATTTTGTACAACGTTTTCGGAATTTTGTCAATTGAAGGCGATTTTTGCGAAATACGACAAAATAATGCAAGAATATTCTCAGGAGCCTCCCAGATCTCTCCGAATATGCGGAAAACGTGCAGAACTTTGACACAGCCTCTCGGATCTTTGTAAAATATTTTCACAATTTTGCGAACTAAAGCCCAGTTTTGCGAAATACAAGAGAATTATGAAGAAACCTATGAGAATTCTGAGATCATTCTTGCATAATTCTGCATTAATTAGCAAAAATCTAAGAATATTTTACAAATTCTGGTCTCACAAAACTGTGAGAAATCTGCGAGACTTCTGGGAATACTCTTCCATAGTTCTTTTGTATTTCGCAAAATTGGGCTTTAGTTCGCACAATTGTGAGCAAAAAGTTCCGAGAGGATGTATCAAAGATCTGCACGTTTTCCGGATATTCGGAGAGATCTCGGAGACTTCTCAGAATGTTGTTGTATAATTCTCTTCATTTCGCAAAATTCTAAAAGTATTTTACACAGATCTGAGAGAATGTGTCAAAATTCTCAAGTTTTCACAAAATTTTGAGAAATCTATGAGAATTCTGAGAACATTCTTACATAGTTCTACATTAATTCTGAAAATTTTGTGAAAACCTGCTGATTTTTGACATATCCTCTGAGAATTTTGTGAAACATTTTTAGATTTTTGCGAATTAAAGTAGAATGTCGCGACATCGAAGAGAATCAGGCAAGAGTATTCTCAGAAATCTCACAGATTTGTCACAGTTTTCTGAGACCAGAATTTTGTAAAATATTCTTGATATAAGCTTTATTCTGTCAGAATACAAGCGAAAAATATTCCATTATAGTATTCTAAACTAAAACTATCGAAAAACACAAAATCAATTTTGTACGAATAGAGATTCGAACATGTGAACTTAGCTTTGTAGTAAACTACTACAAAACTAAATTCACTGTTCAAAAAAATGAGAATTATGCAAGAGTATTCTCAGAAGTCTCGAGGATTTCTCACAGTTTTGAGAGACCAGAATTTTGTAAAATATACTCAGATTTTTCCTAGTTAATATAGAAGTATACAAGAATGATCTCAGAAGTCTCGCAGATTTCTCAGAATATAGTAAAAACCTGCAGAATTTTGACACACCTTCAAAGAATTTTGCAAAATATTTTCAGAATTTTGCGAAATACTACAGAATTATGCGAGAATATTCTGAGAGAAATCTCGGAGACTTCTGAGGATATTCTTGCGCAATTCTATTGTATTTCAGAAAGTTCGGCTTTAATTCGCAAAAATCTGAAAATATTTTGCAAAACTCTGACAGCACGTGGCAAAATTCTGCAGGTTTTCACAAAACTGTGAGAAATCTCGGAGACCTCTGAGAACATTCTTGCATAACTCGCTTGTATTTCGGAACATTGAGCTTCAGATCGCAAATTGTGAAAATATTTCACAAAATTCTGAGAGGCTGTATCAAAATTTTGCAGGTCTTCACAAATATTCTGAGAAATCTGCTAGACCTCTAAAGAATATTCTTGCATAATTCTGTAGTATTTCGCAAAATCCGGAAAAAATTTTACAAAGATCCGAGGGACTGGCACAATATTGAAGAAATCCGCGAGACGTCTGAGAATACTCTTGCATAATTCTCTTGCATAATTCTCTCTCAAGACCAGAATTTGTAAAATATTCTTAGATTTTTGCTGATTTATGCAGAATTATGCAAGAATGATCTCAGAATTCTCATAGGTTTCTTCATAATTCTCTTGTATTATCTTGGTTTTCACAAAATTCTGAGAAATCTGGGAGACTTCTGAGAATGTTCTTGCATAATTCTGTGGTATTTCGCAAAATTCCGAAAATATTTTACAAAATTCTGACAGGGTGTGTCAAAATTCAGTCAAAAAAAAACTCTCAGAACGAGCGAAATCGTCTGACTCTTTAAGTTGACGTTTTGTGCATCCAACAGCGCCAGTTCTGCTTACCAAAAATGGCCCACTTGACACTCACATTCAATGTTCATTCTCAACAAAGCAGAAATGAACTTC